TCTACAGTTTGTTTTCTATCAATGTATAGTTATTTGAAACTTTTTCTACTTAATCAGTTTCCTCTCCTTTTCTCACTATTGTTTGTACTTCAGTGATTTCCTTTTCATGGGTCATTCTGGGATCCTGTGTAACTTTCCCTAATATTGTCCTCCAAACAGTTGCCAATTGATAAGTATTTATTGCTCTCACCCTCAGCTCATCAGGGAAGGATAAATGCTCAGCTCACATTGGGAATAGACAGTTTTTCCACTCACATTGGTCAGCAAATAATTTACTTGCTCTAATTACATTTTGCTTAATTTGTTTTTAATATTGAAGCCAGAGGTTTGCAAATAGTCTCTTATACTGTTTATAGATAGATTTTTGTTTGAATAAAGTGGTTAGATAACTGGAGTGCCCAACTACTGCTATTACTATTTTTCTTTGACATTGTCATTATCATTGTGGAATGTATTTATTGTGCACCTGTGATATGGGCCTCTGAATCTGAATTAAGCCTTGAGCAAAGCAAAAGAGAGATCCCCAGTACATTACCTATTCTTGATTCCAGTCCAAGAATGACAAGGAATAGACAAATGAGCAAACAATGATGAACAACACAGAAATTAAATACTCTTTGCTTTAAGACCAAAGGAATTGTGGGGAAAAGTATATGCATAGAGGTGGTGAAGCTGCCCTTTATTAACTTCACCCCATCTAACCAGGTAAATGATGGAATTCCAAAAACAACACTGCTAGGAAAAGAATCTCGAAAACTGAATAGTAGCAGCATTCCTCTGGGAGGAATGTCTTCTGTAGACACCTGGAAGTATCAGAAGGCTACCACGCAACCTTTTATAGAATTACATCATGTAGCCATGTGTTAAAACCGGAAGCAAGTCAAAGAGAGTGGAGATGCATTTAATTTTTGACGACACTGAGCTGTCAGAAAGACTAATACCAAAAAAAGGAAGAAGTGACGTATTTGAAATCTATAAATTGCATTTCATGTTCATTTGTCACCTCTAGGAAAAGCAAATAAAGTTTCTTCCTTTTCCTGAGGTGGGTGATGAATCATTGCTTAGAGTTGGGTGGTAGGAGCCTGTGTTGCCGTTATTGACTTTCTATGGAAAACAATTCATCTGCAGATGTAGTCAGTGCAGCGTCTGCGCACCCTGCAGGGCATAAGTAAACTGCCTGTAATCACTCATGGGCTGATCTGAACAGAAAATAATTACTTTCCTGTTAAAGACAGACTCTTCCCCTTTTTTTCCACCCTCCTGCCTCCAAGTAGAATAGCAGGGATTTGTTTAAAAGAACTCAGACTCTTAATATCACAGGGATCCATGGAGAATGCAGGGATGAAGAGGACTTACTCCTTCACTCATTTATTTGTTCATTTACAAAGACATATGGACCTACCATGGACCAAGCTTTATGCCACGCAAACAATGATCCCTCTTTTTAGAGAGCTTACTTTAGGAATTGTACAAAGTTTGGAATCATGACTTTTACAAAGTCCTAAAATTCTGCTGTTCAAATCACATTCCAGAATGCAGAGGATTAAACACAGCAAAACACCGTTTATTCAAAGTCACATGAAGAGCCAGAAGTGGGGAGAGAGCCAGTGTGAACCAGCAAAAACAGGGAATATTGAACATGTTTAAGGAATGTAGTCTATTATTTTTTGAGGAGTATTCACTAACTTGAAGTTACCATTTTGATAGTATTTCCCAGTAGAATTTATAAACAACATCATTTATGTCTAAAGATTAGATCGCATTTATTTTTCTGTTGTTTCTTTTTCTCAAATAGGTTAAACATTTTCTATTTAGAGCTTGCTTAAATTTTTTATTATTATTTACTTTTAATAACCTACAAAATGACAGAGCAAACTTCGACCCATTTGAAATAAAATTACTAAAGAATTTGAGTTTGAAGACTGAAATAATAAGATTTTACTTATTCGGTTAACAATAATTCATTAAGTACTTACTACAGTTCAACCACTGCACCAATTGTAACCTAATTATATTGAAGGTTGTGATTAAGTAATTGAAATACATTGTACACAATGGTGTATATTAAGGTGTGTGCATGCATTTCTGTGTTTATGATTCAGTTGGAAATGAATATAGGCCATAATAGTAAATGAAAAAAATCTGAATGAAAAGCTCAATCCATGATATGATATATAGATGTGGGTAAAGAGGTAGAAAGAAGCACAAACATGGTTTAGCTTGTTGAAGGGATAGGGTCATGAGCAATTTATTTTTCTTTTATTTTGAATTCTACTGGTGGTCTTATAAAGTTGTTTGTGCCATAAAAAATGGCTAAACAAAAGTGGATCCAGATTGTCCTGTTTGTTTTGAGTGGATTTGAACTGAGATTTGACAGAGGAACCACTGGAAGGTTTGTGTAATACAGACATACCTATAAATCTTACAGAGGGAGTTCTCTGACATCTTCCATCATTTCCAAAATTTAAAATTCCCAGATAGAGAGTTTCAGGTGAGGACTGTACAGAGAAGGTGATTTTGGTCTACATATTTTCAGTACCCAGAAGAAAAGCCAAGGAAGCCAGAAGTTTTATTTATTCGATATTAAGTATCCGTATGTTTGAAAGTATTTGCGTTATTCTACCTCCCCTCATCTAATATAACCTGGATGCAGAACATCTCATACAATCTGATGATTTAGAGCATAAATGAGTGTCAAAAATATTTTAAATAAATGCGAAACAAAAATCAGCTTGATTTGAGGATATTCTGTAGGCCCGGTGTTTTTATTTTGGTGAAGTATTCTTCCAGGAGAAGCAGGTGGTGAGATCTGCACTCATGGGAAGAGAGGAAAACATATTCTGGTTAACAGGGAAATAGAAAATCAGAGGGGGGAAAAATCACCTTGCCAGAGACAATAGATACTCTATAAAATGAGCCTCTTCATATTATCATGGAAATTACTTTTTGGCAGTATTGCCAAAAGTTGTTATGTATTATTGTTAATTGTGGTTGGAGACACAAAGCACTATGATCATTTGATGACTTATTTGTTATTTGGAAAATGACAGCTTTTATGTGCCAGTAAATATAAAATCACCTGGAAATATTCTTGTGAATTTAGGAGCCATCTGAACATCCTTGCTTAATGCATAGATGGATTTTAATGAAGCCATGTGAATTTGTAGTTAGCAGATTACCTGGTAGCTCCATGTCAGCCATCCAATGAGGGAACACTACCTGCTTGGTGAATGCGAGACAGAGAAACCTATAACTCTGAAAGAACTCATGGTTGGGGGACAGTGGCTTCACGGACATGGTATGAGAGGCAATTAGTTTCCAATTTCGTGTGTGCTTTCCATCTTGTCTGGAGTGCGGCTGGCAGCCACAGCATTCCGTTCACTATACCACATCCCTTTTCTCTTCTTCAAGAAGCGGAAGTTGAAAGAACAGCAAGGAACCTTAAATTCACCCTGGATAACATAAACACAGTTCAGGCTGAGCGTGTCTGGTGTGTGATCCTTATGTGCCTTTTGCAGTAACAGGACACCACTTTCGAAGATGACACTAACTATTCTGAGGCTTTAATATGATTGCTTCTGAATGCTTGAGAAAGCTCTGTGTGTTTACCTGGCACTATACTCTTTTATGACACGGGTCTATTTTTTTTTTTTTTTTTTCCTTTCTCTCTCTCTTCTTTTCCTGCAACTGCCGCATCCTTGGCTGGTAATCTTTAAACCCCAGGCTGCAGGGATTTCTCTTCATACAGCCACACATTAAGCACATCTTGCATGCTTCCCTGAACCAAACTCAGAAAGTGCCAATTAATACGTTGATGGGGAAGAAGTCAACGGGTAGCATTAAGGCTGCCTTTCTGGAGGCATTAGGTGCGCACTTTGACTGAGTCAAAGGAGACCTGCAGAGTCAGGAATGAGGTACTTTATCACACATTCCTATCCCACAGAAAACCAAAGAATAACATGCAGTTTTCAGGGCAGCTCCTCCGTCTTGTTCCTATTGTGGTTTGTTCGCACTGCTCTGGCCAAGTGTAACCATCCCAATGAGAGAGTACAAAGCTTCTGAAGCTATGAAATTTTACACGTGTACAGCATATTCTCTTGTCAGTAGGCTAAAGATTGAGAAGGGCATCCAGCTCCTCCTTGCATGGAGCTTCCATTCAAACTGTCATGGCGTCTTTCTAGTTCCACGTGACTACTCTGAAAACTCTTTTCACTTATTCATTATTTATTCATTCATTCATTTGACAAATATTTATTGAGTATGTAATATATGCTGGGCCTTACTCTAGCTGCTGGGAATACACCTGTGGGGGAGAAAAATAGAGAAATATCAAATATCCCTATTCTCATGGAGTTTATGTTCTAGTAGAAAGTATACAGACGATGAACAAAATAAATAAGTAACTTGTGTAATAGGTTAGAAGGTGGTAAAATGGCCTCTGTACAATGCCCAGAGAATGTTTTAGAAACCCCAGCCTTTGACTCAAGACTCAGATAATCAGGCTAAAAGTAGGATGACATGGGATATTCTGGATTTGAACAAGAGGTCTTGTGACAGAGAAAAACCAACAGACTCCATCCTCTGTCTATTTCTTTTCACCTGTCCCACAACAGACTGGGCAAGTCTTGCTCTTTTATTCCCCCAAAAAGGAAAGTAGACAAGGCACAGTAGGAAGGAGGGTTGAGGTTAGGGGAACACTGGGAAATATTTCAGATTAAAGAAATAACCTTGGAACAAAACAAAGGTCATATAGAAGAGAAGAAATGCAGTCATCTGTTTCCTCTTCCTTCCTTCCAACTTGTCCGGCCTCTTTCATTTCTTAGTGAAAATAGGTCCACAGCGTTGGTCCAAGGTAGGAGAACAAAACTGACAGAGTCAAGGTCCTTGTTTGGCCTACTCCTTTTTCCTCCCTTGTCAAAATTTTAGCTCATTTTTAAGTTTTGTGAATGCATAAACTTAACTTTCTGTTGTTTTCCTTCCCCATCAATTCTTTGCTGCAGATTATGTTACTCACAGACCCGGAGATTGAGAGTAGCTTATTGATCAGCTCAGATGAAGGGGCAACCTATCAAAAGTACCGGCTGAACTTTTACCTCCAGAGCTTACTCTTCCACCCCAAGCAAGAGGACTGGATTCTAGCATACAGCCAAGACCAGAAGGTGAGTCTGATGACCTTGTTTGAGACAATGGTGCATGGTTCTCTAGGGAAAAGACCGATAGTTAATCATCTCTATGTTTCTTCTCAATGATTATTTTTGTTGTGTGGTATCCTGAACTCTTTGCCAGTGGGGCGAGGTGCAGCAAGGCAGACCTCAGATTGCTTGCTTGAGCTGTGTAAATGTCTGAACCAGCATACAAAGGACAAGCTTGACACTAAGGAGGATATTGTGGAGAGGCAGTTCTTAACCTGGATGCTTCAGGCCTTCAGGAGCCCCCAACGCCCATGGAATTCGAGACAGAGTTTTGTGTATGTGCAGATGTGATCATTTTTCTGGATAAAGAACCCATAGCTTTTCTTAGAGCCTTATAGGGAAGGAGGACCCTGAAAAGGTTAAGAACACTGACTAGGGATTTGCTAAAACAGTGACAGAAATAGCCAAAGGAGCAACAATAATGTACCTAGATAACATTATTCAGAACCAGGTAATCTCAGGGCTTGTCTTCTCTTGGTTGTTGGGTTGAAGGAGAGGTCTACTTTTTAAGAAATCATTGAGTGAATTTATACTATTATATGTCTGTGTGTGTGTGATATATGTGTATATATTTTATGGGATACATACTATAAAATTTATCATATACTCTATACTAAAGATACACTATAAAATACATGTAGCCCCTGGTTTTAAGAAACTTATATTCTCAGGATATAAGGCTAACAATAGCAAATACAATTAAGTTAAAATTAAAAGAAACAAAATATACACAGGCAAATGTGAGACTCCAGCCATAAAAGCCAAAAGGAAGATAGGTGCAATATTGGAATGCTCCTTGTGAAATGCATGATTTTGTGAGGCATTCTGAGGATTCTCCTTAGATGAATCATATGTTAGAAATTACATATATTTAAGAAATACTGGACTGACATGATTGAGGAGGATATTCTAGAGTTTTATCTGTCAGGGGTGGTATAAATGTGTGGAGTTCTTCCTGAAGGGAGGGGAATGCTGTAAGCAACCTTCCAAGGTCTCTACTGACCCAAGCATTTTGGAGGAAGCAAATTAGAATTCTTAGGATTGGAGATTTATTCATGCTGCCCTTACTGCCAAATAAAATGCACATTAAGCCTAAAAATAGAAAAGATTTACAATTAGTATTTTTTTCCTCTTGAGCAGCCTGGCTACACTTTCAGCAGAATGAACAATTTCATTCCTGGAGTCAAGCCACAGTGCATCTGATCCAGGATGGTGCAGTTACCAGAGGCGAGGCTGAGCAGCTCAGGACACAGAGTATTAGTCATTTAATCCACTGGGTTATTGTATTTTATTTGACAGTTGGTTGATTTTCTGCCTGATGCCAGAGGCACAGTGAGGGCCAGATTTACCTGGCTACTTAACTATGCATCTTTGCAATTATACTGCAGGGGATGCCCCAAAATGTAACCCTTCATGTCCCAGTACTTCAGACAGTGCCTCCCATGATCACTGTGGCAGAGTGGATAACCCTGGAGGAGTTAAGACATCCAGGCTGTGGTCCCAGCTCAGCCACTTATAGTGAATAGTACTTGGCATTGGCTTTCTTTGCCTTAAAATGTGTTTGTAAGGATAACTACAATTGCAGGTGCACTTCCAATGAGATTGGAAAAAAAAAAAGAAACAAATATTAGACTCTACATCTGTTTTAGGTACTCAGCATGGTGCAGTGTTGGTATAAAATAACTATATCAAGGATCATTCAATCCATCTGGGGAGAGAAGATAAATACACATGAGTTCACCAATAATCTAACAGAAGCCAAAAAGGCAGTGCCCTCATTCCCATATAATGGTCACCCAATCAAAGTAGCTGGATGCAGTGTATGAAATTGACAACCTGAAGTTCAGAAGATGGAGATCTTATGAAATGATTTCACCTGGACCTTAATGAATATGCCATATTTCTGTCGTGGGGGGCACATTTTACACAAGAGGAATGTCATAAACAATAATATAAAGTTAGAAAAACCATGTTTACAGGCTTGTGAATGTGTCTATTTGGCTGAAACTGAAATTTGGTAAAGTTAATTATGTATATATACTTTTGGAACTTAATCTTGATTATTTTTGACTGCTTTGACTATTAGGCAAATTAATTTTTGTTTTCCTGATTAAAAGCCTTTTGAAAATTTTGGTCAGTGGAGTGATGTGTTCAGAGCTGTAGATTACAAAGATTAATACGGTAGTAATATTAGGATGAACTGTGATAACATGAGATCAAAAGCAAGAAGACCAGTTAAGATGATATTGCAGTAGTCCTAGTCTGGACCAAAAAATATCTTGTGATGATAGACCAAACGAATTCTATCATTTTTGAGCTGGAAGAAGCCTTAACAGTCTTTGCTCTGTAGGTAGCTAATGAACTGAAAATCTGAGAAGTTAATGAAAAACCACTCACTGGTGTCATATGTCAAAGTTCAGTGAATGGAATAAAGCCTTACATGAAACTTGGTAGGGTTCTCATTCTTGATGGTGATATCTTGAGACTAGCAAGCAGGCAGAAACCAGCCTTTCTGCTAAGCTCTCTGTTTCTCTAGGAGAAAAGGAAGAAGAAATCATCCTGGAAAAAAATTATGGCTTACCTGCTAATAAGATAGGGGTTGGAGAAGAACTCCACATCTCAGAGCTTGAATCACAGAATGAGGAGTGGGCCATTAGCTGGGAGGGGAGTGGGCTGCAGCCTTCAGATAGCCATTAGCTGATGGTGTTGGCTGGAAGCAAGTTAAGAGGGTCTGTGGCCACTCAGGTGGGTCAGTGATATGGAAATAATAGCTGGCAATCACCCATGAATCGTGGAGCTTTTAACACTGATGGGATGCAGCAATAAGCACCAAGGAGGGCCCCATGCTGGTGTTGGCAGCCCAATGACTGTATTCGCCCAGGAAAAGGGAACATTTATTCTTTCATATAAGTATTGCTCATCAATTTTTCTCTGACAGCTGCTGTTGCTGCTGCTGCAGAACTCCCAGCTAAGATCTTAGCCTCAGTGCTAGTATTCACTTTGCTGGATGCTGTTTTACCCTAGCCTATGGTGAGCAGAATCCTCAGGCAAAAGGTACTGTCTCTTAGAAAGTATCTTGTTGAGCTGGCAGGTCCTTCAGAACTCACCTGTGAAGAGTCCTCCTCTCTTCTATTCTTTCATTGTTTGCTGTCTTCATTGTCTTTTGTAGCATATTGTCCCTCTTTTGAATACATAGCCACCTTGATTTTTCCCTTATTTCCCTGCCATTGTTTTTTCTCTCCTTCAATGAATGAGACTTTTAAGGCCCCGAGGAGAGTCTGGATCTCTGGCTTGCAGGATAGAGCCCCATATGGGCTGCGATGCTCTGCTCTGACTACATTTCATCTTGAATGCCTCAACCCCCAGAGGAGGCTGTTTGCTGTGAGCATTTTAAGGGACTCGAAGAGTTTTGTTGAACAGACTGTCTTTTCTGGCCCAAGATAGAGTTTTACTGGCCATCAGTTCCGTGGGAAGCCAAATTTTTTTAAAAAATAGCTTTTAGTCAGGGAGAAATGTAAATGGCCAAAAGCCCTCAAAATTTGTAAAATCAGGATGTTTTGATGTTTTAGTCTTTTTTCTTAGAGAGAGAAATCTATGTGTGATATTCAATGTCTAGGTGGTTGCCAAGAGGTAAAATCTTTCTTGAATGGGCATGTGGCCCTCCAGGCACCACCAGAATGACGAGGAGAAAAGGTTTAGAGCCTTTTTTCCCTTTGAAATTCTAGAAAAAGTAGCCCTAGGAAGCCCTGTCGGGGGACTTCTATAGTATACAGACACAGGAGCTAGACTCCTTAACCTCTGAAGGGTCTATGTGAGGATGTGCCTTTGGACAGCCCCGGAATTTCCAGAAAAATTAATATTATGCACATTATGGAAATTTCATGTCAAATGGGCAAAGGGACACTGGTCATGTAAAGTCACACCCCTTAGACATCTTACAAAACAGCAGTGGATCACTATGGACACTCTGAAGAATTCCAGGGCATTTATTATAGGAGTACCAAAATCTTGCTTTCCTTTATTTATTTTTTTATTTCTGTAATTAATCAATAGGCAAACCAAACATTCTTCTTGTTCTTTTTGTTTCTTTGCATTTGGAAATCGAGCAGGTAGGAGAACGCAGATAGAGTTCTTCACTTCACGGCTAGTTCTCCCTCTCTTTCTTCCCTCAGTACAGGAAACCACCCAAGGAAGGTTTAGCAGCAGGCTGAATCTACCAGATTACATCTTTATTTTAATTTGGCAATAAACTAGTGTACAAACTGTGCTACAAAACATTGCCTCCAACGGCATCTCTCAGTCTGTCTTAAACACCTCACTAAACATGATGTGTTGGGAAACATTTGAAATGAGAGAAAAACAAAACGCCGATGTGACTGAAAGAAAAAAACAGGAGAAAAGGATAAGAGTATGCATATACCTCAGCTTTGCCCACCACCCTGGGGCGCTGGGCTCAGGGTCTCTCTTTTAGGGATTGCGCTGGTGGAGCGATTTACAAAAGGGACAATCTGCAATGTTGTGAAACGGACATGAACACTCCCGGGACTCAAGCTACCTAGGGGAGGAGAGACCCCATTGCTCTGCTTATCCAGGCTGGCAAGCCCTCTTCCTCAGGTAGTTCTGCAGAAGGTCCTGCTGCCCCTGACCATAAGCAGGAGGGACCACTTTTCTCCCATCCTCTGTGGTATTCTTCTTCTCCCCACCATTGTGGATGTCCGAGTCCGTCTAGGTCATGAACTCAATTCCTGCATGGACAAGCAAGAAATCTAACTGAACAAAGAGGCTGGATCTGAGCTGTGGGAACCAGGAGAGCAGGTGTTCATTAAGAAGGGTGGGGCCCAAGGGGATGCTGGGAAACTCCAGCCTGCTGTTCTTCCCACTGAGGATGGCTTGTCCAATGTCACCAGACCTTCAGATGTTTTTGAGAGAAGTAATCCTGCATTATTTGGAATGTGATATTTTCTTAT